AGTTATAGACTTGATGACTTGTTAAATGTCCGTTGATAATGGCCTCTGTGAAGTTCTTCTCACATTCTCGACTGCGGTCCGTCAAATAGGTGCAGTCACTGCCTGTTTATTTTGTCCTTATCCAGACAGGTTTTCTCATTCTGTCCAATGTAGCTCTCCAAAACCCTTGGACGCTGTTTTGATTGCCTTCGACTCGAACTGACATTCGCAGTGTATGGTTGACTGCTCTGTTATTAGAAATGGGGTCTGTGAGCACTTCTGAACTCTGCTCCCATTCGAACAAGTTTCTGAGCCCTTGGGCCAAACTGGGCTTTTTTCGTCACACCGTTTACTTGATTTGGCGCATCATCGATAAAGCAGCTATGCCATGGCATCCGAGTGTCGTTTATGTTATTGACATCAGCTATCTCTGTTTACTACCAAATGTCGAATTTCACTCTTAGTTCCTCTGGCTGACGTCAATATTAGGGCTCAGCGCAAACTGAAAAAGCATAAGAAATCGTTCAGCTGCAACACTCTTTTGGCGCCTAACTGCCACGCCACCCAAAGGAAGCACGAGGGCTGGGATACTGCCAGGTTGCCCAAGCCTAGACAGGGGAAGTCGAGTGGCAGAGGTCGAATTCGAACCACAACCTTCCAGGCAGTAAATTCGCGCCCTAACCACTGAGCCATCTAACGCAAGCTGGCTTTGGTACAACAACGGTGCGCGGATTTCCAGTGACTCAATAACTTCTATCGACATGAAATATTGAATTGCCGCTCGTCTTTCGGACTTTGCAAACTGAGCGGATATCCTTCAGACTTGCAGTATCTTTCTGGCCTCGCACTCAAACTGATCATCCTAAATGTGCTTTTCATTTGCAATCCAGGCAACTGTATTCCGCTTTTCGCTCTTGAAGTAAACCGTCCGGGACAATCATTTCACTGAGTCCATCCTGACGGGTAGAAGCACTGGGCTTCATTTTCGCTCTTAGGGCTCATCAGCAGAGCATATTCTTGGCCGTGCCGGGGTTTGAACTGCGCATCTGATACGCAAGACGAGCGTCTTACCGCTAATCGACCAGCGCACTCTGGACACATAAATTTCTTTATTCACGTCCGAACGAGTTGACATGTTCGCGCTTGATTGATTTGAGCGGTAAGTCCGACGCCTCGAAGGATGACCCAGCAACATACCTTGGTTGTGTCTATCGATTGGTCCACCAGTCAGATAGCGCCACAGACGCTTGAAATCTACCGGATGCCTTTGTTTAGTTTGTGGTTGTGGATATGTAGGTTGTTCAAACTAGTGTCATTTGGGCGCGCAGTCTACAAATCCGCAATCACCCACAAGTAAATTAGTATTGCGTTTAGACGTAATACACTACTCGTAAGGTTGCTGAAAACTCTTCGGCAGCCCATGACCGATGTCGCCTCTCTTGGGTCTTATCAGGTAGACACAGTCCCCGAATTTCCTTCAACCATATGCTCTGCCTAAATCCGAATAGAACAAATGCACCTGCTTGCACAGCAGTGTGGTTTTGATGCGAGACTCACCTGGGATCCAGTTGAATCTCCCCCTTATGATGTTTTTAAGCAGTTGAATGTGTTGCATCGGGCCACCTCATGTTTCGACTGGCACAATATTCGAGATATCGCGATGCGTCACGAAGAGACTGAACCTTACCGTGGTGTAACGGTTTGCGCACCTCAGCGATCCATTGAGCTATACTGGAGAGTGTCCCGCGTCACTCACAGAGTCCCATACAAGGTTGGTCAATGGTTAGAGGTCTGACGGACACAGTCTCCTGGCCCTCCAGGTTGGGGGTTGGAACATGTGGCGACTTGTTCCGTAGAAATGGTAATGCATTTGCATTTCCCGCCAAGCACCGCTGCCTTGCGGTCAGGCTTTTGAGCCAAAGGCTTTGGTTGAGGACCCTAATCGCCCTCCTGTCTAGTATGGGCGCCCTGGTAGTATCCCAGCCCACGTACAACCATGAATTGCAGTACGGCAGTGAAGCATCGCCATTCTTGGGGCTCATCAGGTGAGCGCGGTATTATTTTAAATGTTTCTGCTCCTACGTTCTTATGGCTAATTCCGTTTGCATCAGTCGATTAGAATAAGGTAGCGTCGGCACTTCCGATTCCCGAGAAACAAAACTCGAATCAATGCAGTTACATAACGAGTTCCAGCCGATAAGACTTCTTACGAAATAGGGAGTGGGAGGAAGATATCCAACAGTCAGGCAACCGAAGCCACGACTGCATGCTACCTGGTCAACCACGGTGTTACTAGTGTGCGGCCGATGGTTGCCATATTGCAGACATTCGATATCACTGGCAGTGGTTGCTTCGCTGCAATGTCCAGGAAGAAGAAGGATACTGGACTGCTACTGAATTGGATTCAACACTGGACGAGGTACTTCAGGTGGAAGCCAATTTTGGATGGTTCCCTGAAGTCTACGAATGCAGTACCTGGAGGATATCAACGTAACCACAAGCTTGTTGAGAAGAGCCCGCATCGTTTCCAAAACTACATGCATTCTGCAATATATGTCTATACTCCTCTGAACAGGCCATAACCAATTCGTTTTTTCAACTTGCCAGGTAGGCGGGATAACAGCCGTGATAGATCTGACTTAGCGACGAACACCGACTCTATATGGCATTCAAAACTGTCCTAAACTGCCAAAAATGCGCATAGGTCTTTCACTATTGGAGTGAACATGGAATGAGATCACAAGATCCCTTGGGAAATCATGCGCATATCTGGTTACTCCATTTGATTATTTCATTTCAAGCCAAACGACCTTGCTTTTAGGTTGTGAGGCTTACCAAAGCACTTGCATAATTTCTTTTAATCGGTCGTCCTAACCCAGACCACTGTGCGATTTCTAGTCGTGCTACCATGTTACAATCTGTCACTTAAGGTCATATCGCAGTTAGGTACCAGACCGCATCCACCGAGAGATTGTTTGAGTCTATGCTGGAATCACTGGCGATTATTATTCGCCCTACATATCTTTCATACTCGATCGATAGTTATTTGTCTTTCAGTGAACAAGTGCTCCTGGAAGAAAACTTGGAAGCATAAAACCTCGGAAACACACGTGTCGAACGCTCAAGCTACATCGATTCATTTCATCAGCGCAGTTAGGCAAGGTGTATGGATATACGGGCTTTACTCGTGCCACTGTTCATAGGATCAGTGAATATGGTTTTGCCTCTCGACAAAGAAGACGGATGCATCTTTGTTCAGAAACTTGATAGATTTTTGGCTAATCTTGAAACGTTTGCTACAAACGTTTAGTCGTCATCATTTATGTCGTAGCGATGCGCCACTCTCGAAATGGACGACAGACAAACCTTGCTGAAACTTTGCCTTCATTTTGTTTCTGTTGATGAGTCTGGTGTGTCCGAAAGATGTTTACAGAATCCAGCTTCGATCGTACTTCTCAAGCTGCCTAGGATGGGCTCGAAAACTCCATATTTTACTCTCGAAAGTTACACTTAAATCCAAAGTTGAGGATGCGTTACTGGAGTAAACAGTTTTCTTTGCGGTGTATAGCCATTGTGTTCAATTAATGTCACTCCAACTCTATCCAAACATTGGGTTATCCTGGTTGTACTTACGGTTGCCCACTTTTTGTGGCTTCTTGAAAAAACCGTTCTTGACGAAAAGGGTCATCATTTACTGTGATGTTTTCAAAGAAAGCAGGGCGACATGGGCGGGGCTTTTAAGAGCAACATCAGCACCATGTAGGACCTGAGTCTTTACTTCGGCCGTCCTCGTATAAACGCTAGGAAGGTCCGTAATTTAAACGTGGATACGCTGTTGACTAAAGTCAGGATTCATTCTCGTTGAAGGACGAGCAGTTTCGTCTTGTTAAGTAGAGGGGCTTCACATAGTACGAGTGTGGCTCCTAATATCGAGCAGAGTACTGGCGTATATATTCAACATGTTCCTGATTTTTAACAGAGCACGCGTATTTTTCACCCCATCCTCGGGAACGTCACTTACCGGAGGCGCCGTTCTGTAAACTGAAACTCGTATTTGGCGAGTGGTCGCGCAGCAGCATGGAAATGTCTCCAGGGTCGTATAGCTTTTTTTTCGGGGCGCATCTCTGGTCTTTGCCTCAACAAGTATAGGCGACAAGACAGTAATAGGGCTATGGAGAGTAGACTCATCTAATGGCCTTTGGATTTCATATACTCATTCCGGCATCTCAGGTTTCCCTAGCCCTTGCATATTCAAGCGCGACCCGTAGGGCAGCTTGATTTCGTGGTTGCCGGTGATCGCTATACGGTTTGCGTACCAGTTTGCTGTACTAACTACTGAGCATTGGTTCATATTCTCGCGACTTGTGAAACCCCTTTGTGGTGTAGTGGCACCCGCGTCGTGGTGGTGTTGTCATTTGACTGTGTGACGGGAGATCCGGTTGCCAACTGGGAATTTCTCGCACCCTGCTGGCGCTACCACTGAAGCCCCGTTAGCTCATTACAGCAGCTGTCAAACCATGGTTGACACGTGACGGCGAGAATGAGTTGGACCTTGTGAAAGAGCCCTATCTTTGGTAAACAATGTTTGGGCGTTGTTTGTACGTCCTGGCCCCTTTAACTTGATAAGCTTCATTTTCTGCATCCTTGATCTCGATCGACTATGAAGCTCATGACTTCCATCCGAGTAGCTCTCATCCTCAAAACCGGCTACATTTAATTTTCCAGGAGGGGATGCAGAAAACCTCAATCCTTGAGTGCAAAATTGTATCATAGCGCTTCGGTGTGTGTGGTTTCGTTATAAAGGAGAGTGTTGGTAGCTTAGTTAGCGTGGGTGGTCGTCCGCTCAGCTCAGCGAACAAGCCAACGACCAGATGTGGTTTTATCAGTATCCTAGATACAATGCGCGGGTGTTGCATAATGCTGAAAGGCCTCTGGAACACCTGGTTGCCGGAAATCCAGCTTGTTTACTTTGTACAGCAATGCTCTTCGTCTAACTTCATTACTATCCTCGTAGGCATGTTTCAACTCAGTAGTTTCTGGTGTTGAAGTTCGTTCCAGAAACTTTCAGGTTCCGCTACTGAGGCAAGTGCTCTGTTTCTGGCGCAATCACTACAGTCTTCGACCTATGAAGAGGAACGAGCAATCGTTCCTTTGAGCAAGTAGTCGCTTAATAGATATCAAACATGACAGTAAGGGCTCATTTAATCGTTTCGTGATATCCTAGCAAGATAGGTGACTGATGATCTGGCTCACGCGAGCTTTAACTGACAATCGCTATGGTGGTTGTTCTTCGCACAGTAGGTTGGCTTTACCATCTTACGATAACACATTGAAGTGCTTGAAGGTTATTGGTGTAACCAGTACTGCATTAAACGGGATCGTACAACAAATCCAAGGGGGACACTAATTGCCATGGCCAATCCTTACCTCCAATTACACTGTTCATCGGAAGCCGGCGCGTGCTTAGAAAACAACCTAGCAAGAATGAGCGGGCCAGGATTCTTGAAGGCATCCCTCTTGGGTATGCGTAAAACTTTAGGACCTCGCAATTCTGCTTTCTTTACGGCAACCTCTTTGAGAATAGCAATTTACTCACCTTATCATCGAAAACAAGCTGCTGCAAGGGAATACTTGTTATACCGTGACCAAACAGATCGGCAGGTCCAGGTTTCTCAACCATGGAGTAAGGCCGCTCTTGCAGCCGCTTTGTACACACGAATTGTTACTCCTAGCAAAACATTTTGACGCCTTAAATGACAAATGTTGATAATGCGTCCATTGGTTTCATCCATTGTATTACGATCGTGGCTCATATATCGATTCAAAGAAGGAACAGATGAATATATTCAAGATTCGTTCGTCGACGTTTCCGAGGGATATAAGGGATTAGAGGTGCCGAAAGCACGCCAAAACAAACAGCTAATTCTGACATCTAATTTGAAGTAGACCGGGAGGACTGATGGCAACCTAATCAGACGCCGTCAAAGTTAGAGACTACCTGCTCCTTCGCGACTGTCGATTTCTCTGCTACATCCTGATGCCTGCGCGAACAGTTTTGTTTGTAACAACTCATATTTGCTCTAGATGACCCAGTCGCCTGGCATTTGTGAACTGGTCCATTTCTTTTACGAAAGATGTCAGCGCCTAGATATCAGGTACATGCTTCCGCACCTTGCTACAGTTCAGATTTCTACGGATCAGACATCTTAGTCTCAAGAAATCCGCAACTTGCTTGGTTCTCCTAATCGTTGTCCATTCCCATTGACGTAAGGCGCCTGTAGACGAATGTCGCCATCGCTTGGGCAGTCTAAAGTCTATGGGACACCCCTCAGGGATACATCACGTTTTACTCGCGCAAACAAACCGTTTCTCTCGAACCATAGAACTGATAATTTGGTCTTCCCGTAATACATGCTTTTCCTTTCATTTTAGCTAGCCTCTCCGTTAATGATTCCCAATCCTCTTAGCGATAAACGTAAAAGACGTCCTGTTTTTGTACAGTTAACGGAAGATGAAATTCAAAATTTTCTCGCTCGGTCTGACGGTGAAAAAGACTCAAGCGGGAGTGATTGGGATGATGTTGGGGAGACGGATATGGCCACCTTTTTTGCCTCCTTGTCTGAAAAGCAAACTTCTCCAAAAAGACGTAAACTATCACCCAGAGTTTCGGAATGCACAAGCACTTCTAAAGATCCCTGTCCCTCACAATCTTTACAAACGGAGGCTCGTCAAAACAAAGGGGTACTTCAAGGTGAGTGACGTTCATAACTGATAAATTTTCCGCCTCATTATACGTCTTTTTTCTTATGGCTGGTTACTCTTCTGTCACGTTTTTTAGAATATTTCATACTACCAGAAGCCTGTATGTTTCTAGGCTGTTTGCTTCATTCATGCAACAGCTATCCACAAGAACAAAGAGAACAAATGAGAACCATCTACTCAGGCACCTCGGACAGAGTAGTCACAGGCACGCTTCAACTAGATTGTGCTGACGTTGATGCTCCTACAGATCGATTTTCTACTCATCCATACCGGTTATTTGCTTCGCCGATCATGCATTAATAATAGTTTGTATGGTCATCCAACTGGCGAATGATTTTTCGCCCTGCAACATTCATCGCAAAGTACCACCTTGTTTCTGTACTTTGTAGATGCGATTCGGCCGCATCAATTATGGATGTTCACAACGCTACTTTTCTACTTCTTATCATCTCTCACACAGACGTCGGTATAGATGCCTTGTTCAATGCGTCGGTGTCGAAGGCGGAAGGCAACACTGAAGTACCGGAGCTTGATGTGCATGATCTGTTTGGTTCATCTTCCAGTGACTCAGACGCTGATGGTGATATTTTGGATGGATGTGATGATGGTAAGTTTCCTACGAAACCCTCCACCTTCAGCAGTCCCAAGTTCTTAGAATCTCTGTAGATATATTTCAACAGTATCACTTTCTGTATTTTGTGCTTGTATGTTGATCGCACTTTTGTCATTACTAGTAATGGGTTCGAGATAGCCCATTGGTTACTGATCGGAGATCGAAGCCGACCCGAGCATTTCGACTGTTCCTGTCCAAGTCTTGGGCAACCTAGCAATATATCAGTCCTTGTACTTCCTTCGCGTAGGTGTCACAGCTGGGCTACTTTGTATAATGTACGTAACTCTGTTCATCCAAAGTCACATGCATCATTCGAATGGGACACAAAATCCGTTTCTGAACATATTTCTGAGTAGGCAGTGCTTTCAGTCCACCTACAGTTTACACCCGGATTCTTTCGGTTTTTGTACGGACGGAATATTAATGTGATTGGTTAAAACCCTATATCACGAAGTAGTACGAGGTGGGACCTTCGATTACCTAGATCTGATGAGTGATAGTGGCTGCGCCTAACGCTTATGAGATATTCACACTTCTGTTTCCCCTCAAAGACCTGCAGTTCAAATTCTACCATTTCGTCGACAACTGGCGCCCCCCTGGATAGGGACTTCTAGATTCAATTCCCAAATGGTTAATGATACTGGCAGATGTAGCCCAATCGCGCAGTCAGTGGCACTCATGCATCAAAGTTATCGCCTTCGATGCATAGCTACCTGGTTCCCGAACTAACCAAACATGCTATCGCACTTTCTCCACTATCCACTTTCTATCCTTTTCCGTCGATCGAAACTGTAGCAGTTGGAGCCATCGTACCTATGGTACATGATTTGTAGCTGACAAATCGATTGATTTTTGAATGTATACTAGTTTTTTAGTGGTTAAACGATCTGGTAAAATTGGTTTGGAATCTAACTTGGGTTAATGGACGGACCCACACTGAAATCCTCGGGAGCCGCTTACAACGATGGCAATAGACATTAGTAGAATAGGTCTTCCACGGAATCCACCATACAAGTGAAATGCTCACAATATGTCTGTAAGTCACGGCTTCTCTCCACCTGTATGACTGGTTGTGGTTCGAAAAGACACCTCAAGTCACTCAAATGCTCAGGCATAAATATATATTTGCATGCACAGTACTAGCTGGTTTTTCTAGTCCAAAGCTATCAACTCTACGGGACGTCCGCTACCCGTAATCACAAGCGTCTTATCCATTTCGTGTTTTTTTTCGCCAGAACAGGACGTATCTCTGTCCGAATGCGGTGCCCGGATTCAGAAGAGTCTTTCAGTTGCACGGCGCAAGCAGAAGGAAGCCGAGATCGAGCAACAGGTAGAACGGGCTATCGTCCAGACTTCGGTGGACGCTTGTCAAACTCCGTCGACTTCTCTGAGCGGCTCGAAAGGGCCCATCTCTGTCAGCGCATCATTGGCTGCATGTGCTGCCCGTCGTCAAAAAGCCCGTAAGTTTTTGTTATTCGGTCTCACAAACGAAGGCCAAATGCTCTGACAATGACTGGAAAGTTTTAACAGTTTTGGCCCTATTGTTCTCCACCATGGACCACATTTCTTCAGAACATTATTTAGCCTTTGCCCATTAATTTATACGTAGCTTTGTTGAACCGAGGCTTTGAAAAGCCCGACCGGTTATCACCGATTCGCCCTTAGGGTACAGCTTACTGATCTCACCAGATTTAGGTTTCAGTGCAAGGGGAAGGTTTTATGGTTTGTATGTGATACAGTTAACAATAATCTGTGCAATTGAGTGTAAGCACAGCGATGGTTGGCTCGGTTTTGTTTTCAGGCAACACTAAGGATGGTTCAGAGTGCTGTGCACTCATTTGTTAAATGCCAAGTTTTGTGGATGGAAATCCAACTAACCGGTCCAGCCATTCAGACGGACATGACATGGGAAATGGCGTGACGCGACGTTCAAAATTAAGTGATAGTCTTTAAGCTCAGTCAAAGGGACGTCCTGAGACATTGCTCAACTACTGTCTGGTTGTTAACTGTTGCCAGTCCGGGCATTATCGAATATTACTGAAACCACTGGAGTTTTTACTTGCTGTTTCTTAAAGGTCTGTGCTTCTCACTTTTCATAGCCTTCGCAACTGTAACCGTTAACTTCCTTGAATATGGACCCACTGTAGAGTGGATGATTCTTCCTCCGAATATCACTTCAAGCCTCATGCAAATTCGCCTCGCGAACGGTGCTGCTCTACCCTCTACGGCATATCAAAAGGCACCGTGTTACTGAGATAAGGGGAATTACAACGATTTATAAGGTTATCGCCAAATTTTTCCCCCAGATCAGGCTGGAATCTTCTTGAAGGGGCAACGGGCTCCGATCCCGGTTGGCTGACATTCTGGCCAATCAGAGAGTACCTTCGTTCGCTCTGTAGGGGGGGCGATATGGCTCAGTGGTTAGACTGCGAATTAACTGACCGGAAGGTTCGTGGTTCAAACCCGAACTCCGCCTTTCCCCACTTCCGCTGTCTAGGCTTGGACAACTTGGCAGTAGCCCAACCATCGTGCTTCCTTCGGGAGGCATGGCGGTTAGGCACCGAAAGGGTGTTACAGCTGAATGGTTGTCTGTAACGGGCTCACCACACGTACGTCGGATCGACGGGACGTTCGGTTATTTACAGTGGCTCGCCTCTAGACGAAGTTCTATTTGTTCGACATAAGTTTGGCGCAAATTTTACTCGAACGCTATTCAACCTTAACGCATCACTACACCTTCTGGCCAATTGTTAGATGCGTTCTGTCGTCAAGATAAATACAAACATACTTTGATGATTCAGACGCGGAAAACTACCAGAATTTAGCCTAATTCTATCCATTTTGGGACGCCGACTATACCACTCGCCGGTTTGTACGATCACGAATGAAATCCAATCTCCGTTCTGTTGAACTACTTTCGACTACAGACGGTGACGGTGGTCAAACATGACAACGCGGACTTGTCAGGGAACTTCCTTCTGTTGCTTCACCATGGATAATATTCATTAGAAGTTTTGAGGCGATCAATCGAACGAGACAAAGTAACATTAGACAGCGAGTAACAACTAAGTGCAAACCCAATTTAAGGTTACAGGAAAGCCTTCAAATTATAATGTTGCAAGAAATCAATAGTTTAATACCCTTATAGTACCTTGTGTTTGACGCCAACTGTGCTGGGATATTCCGGACCGGACCGGGTAGAGATAATAATGTGAAATATAGACATTTACTATCAAAATTTAAACGTTGAATATCTGACTTCAGGGAAATTCAATCGTGGCACAAAACTGGAAATTCGATCAGTGTTTGAGATTCGGGACCTCCTTCCACGGAGGGACGATTTTCACTAGGTCCGGCGTATGATTTCTATTGAGAGGACCACTATATGTCTTTGCGTCTTATGAGATGCTCCTTCGTCTGGAAGCAATTCTGTAAACTATTACAGGGTTTCTAAAGATCAATTTGTCGAAATATAGGTACCTCGATTGTGTTTAACGTTGGTTGATCAGATGGTAGTTGATCCGTTTACCGAGTTTGCTAATCGCAAAACAATGAAAAGTTGAAGCCAAAACGTCGGCAAGGGTACAAGATGGCAGGTACAACCGATTGAAGAGGCTCAAATTCTTTCCCCAAGTGGGTGACCTATTCGACTGGTTTACCACGCTTTCTGGTGGTGAATAAAACATTCTGTGACGATAGACCTCTGTTGCCTTCTCGGGCAGAACGATTGTTGGTTGTGGTCACTTTCTAACGCGAGCACAGCCCCGACGATGAACTGGGCTCCTTGGTTCGACGTATGGGACGCTGTCAACAGCTTGAAAGATTTCATTCGTCAACGCTGAGCGAGAACAGTGAGATAATATGTCGCTGGCGTATTCCAGTAGATATCGGAAAGGGTAATGGCATCCGACTGTTAACCTATACACAAACTATATGGAGGTTTGAGGGCGTCGACCAATTTTAAGCTTAAGCCGTTCTCTGTCAACCTCTCCAAAAAGACTCCTCGGATCATCGAGTTGAAGATAACACGCTTATCTGGGATGAATTCCCGGATAATCGACGATATATTTTGGCCTGGTGATGTGGTGGACACAACCACGCTCATTGGAACACCAACTTTTTACTCGCGACAGACAACGGTAATCTCTAGAATCTCCGAAGCCACGGCTATTAGACGGATTCATGGGGGTTTGAGCAATCCCAATGTTGACCAACTACCGAGATCGGAATTATAAGATAGCCCGATAAACTCACCGGTGCTCGTTCTTGGGCTCAAAAGCGGAGCCCTCGATTGATCACGCAGTGCATCACCTTTGGTTGTAGCTCATCTTACCCAGGTACTGTCGACCGTAAATCGAGCAGCTTCACAATTGGAAAGAGTTTGGGACCGACTAGGAAGTTATCGTTTCAGAACGGCTTGGTAAAACTACCGGTTGTTCACCAAGCCCTTCTGAAATGAAGCATCATAGATAGACGTAATACAATACCCAGTCCGGGAAATCAAATGGAAATTCTTCGTGTTCTTTCGCAAAAACTTGTCTGGCTTTTATGTCCAGTGCTGGTCCATTTGTTCGCGGTTCTCATTTGTCGCCGTGTAGATGGATCAGTGCGATCAGCACCTTCTCTGCGTTATCAGTTCAATGGGTCTTTTCTTCACTATCGATTTCCCGTTGTAAATGTCCAAATTCATTACACATCCTACCATGTAATTGCTTTCCATTTTGGCGTGAATAGCATAGGCCACCATGTAGCGGCCACGGCCTCTCGTGTCGTGGTGCATGTTGTGCGGTCAGACAAACGACCTGGTTGTTGTGATGGCTCGGTTCGCTGTTTCTTGGAATTAATTCGTTGAGGGGATAAAACGCTTGCACTCCTACATCAGCCCGGATGAGTGCATACATCGCATGTGACAGGTTTATGGATCTTATACATACCCTTTTTTATTAGTAGCAGTACAATAACCAACAACCCATCGCGACGCACCACTACGCTCTCCAACAACGCACTGATGGTGTCATCTCGATTGGGGATGCAATCAAATTGCCAGCTCATGGAACAAACCAGCGACAACTGTAGCAGTAAAACTAGTCGAACGTAGATTTTCAGGTTGGTGACTGATAATCGCAGAACATATTCTGTGTCAACTCCAAGGGTATTTAAAGTAGTTGTGACAAACTGCGCATTCTACTGAACTGTTTCACCCTTTTTCAACTATTTTTTCCTAGCCAGCAACATTTCTCAAAAATATCTGTCCAGAGCACTTTGGGATCAACACTGAGTCCCACTTTAGCCACTGTTTAGCTCTGAGATATAACTTGATCGCGTCAGTTGGAACAAACGCGATGCATGCAAATTTGCATGGGCGTGTTTTGCAATACACTGAATTCCTCACCCTTACTTGTCACGCCCCAAAATCTGCATAACCTTGTATACAGACATCTGGTCCGTCAAACGGTTGCGTGCAGTGGTGCTTATGGATATCAGCCCCCTCTGTTGCAGTCTGTATCTCTCATCCGTCCGACGTAAGCCGTTTTATTATGCACGTCTGTCCGACCGGCACCATAGCAGCAGACGACTTAATGCGGAATGGTCGGGCAATCACCTCGGTTTGACCACCACCACCACCAACAACAACAACAACATGTTTTCAGCTCCGAACAGGGTCAAAGGTCAACCGCGTAGTGAATGAACATATTAATCGGCTTTAAGGCCCGGCGAAGCTCAGATTCACCGAACAATGCCGCGCGCACGAAGTGATTTGACAAAGATTTCTTTGTTGTGTGATTTGTTCATCTCATCATCGTTCTGCCCGAACACGATTATTGTGGGGGGGGGGGCGTTACATCAAGGACCTGCATCTCCCAGACCATGCTGGGATTGGAACTGCGACCATCTCCGATTGAGTACTGGGTATTGATGCGATTGCTTTGCTCAACAGCTCGAAGGACAACAAATAGCGTTGCATCTCAATGCACAGTGTCGTGTTAAGGATTATGGAATTCGTCGTGCCAGGTCAGCAACCGTGACATGTTTGCGCAAACTATTCAGCAATCGTTTTGAACGAAAATCTTTTTTCCCTGGTTTTGAAAAAAAGCTGACTACATGGACCGTTGCGTTTCTTATGCAGCCTGTCGATGCTGTATATCACCTTGTCCGCTTCGGATACCACTCGGTCGTGCGGAATGGCTAGAAATCGACTGGTGAAAGCAACCAGCTTCTCAGTTAACTCGTAATAATCTGGACCTTGTCGCTTTAGGATTTTTACTGCTTATAGTTCAAACACTTGACCCGATATTTTTGTTCCGTTCACGTCCTTGATGATGCAGCATCGTCCTTTCTTTGTGAATATCGTACTAGCGCGCGTGTACTTTCAAACATTCCCAAATAGGCTCCCACATTTGGATATTTGTGCATTAACCCGGAGACTGAAAGTTAAACCAGTTTTTTCTAGTAGCTCTATACAGTAAAATTGAAAAAGACCAGTTTGCATTGCCATTGGAACAAATCGCCTTTGTCCTTTGGTTATGTGTAATAGATATCATACCTTTTCTTCCATTTTGTACCGAAAGCATAGGATCTGGCTTCCTTGTTTACTGTTCGGGCTTATCCGGTCTTCTTGTTGTTCGTAAACCAGCTGGCACATTTTCCGCATTACTCTCAAAATGTGACGTGCATTGATCTTAACTGTATCACGTGACATTTCTATCATGCTGACAACTGAAACCTTGTAAGTCTACTCAAGTGTTGTGACCTATTGAACCTTTGCGTAACTTCTCTGCCTAATGTCCTCACGTGTTGTAAGAGGGGTTGAACTCTATCTGCAAAACATCTCCCAGAACGATATATGCCATTTTCTGTCTGGTTAGGTGAGAAGAATTTTATATCGATGCAATATTATTCTCGTACGTCTTTAGGTGAACTTGTATCAATCCTACTGCAGCAATTCAATCCAGCAGGATAATGTATACCTGGCGGGCCGTTTCCCAAGGTTTACATGGGGATAAGAAGGTCGTCTATCTTCAGTTGATTGTGTGTAACGTTTTCGTTCGAGTATTAGCTTCGGGTGTTGTTGAACTGTCAATCGAACTACTTCATTTCTATGAGAAAGACAGCAATCAAGCCATGGGAAGTTCTTATAGAAATAAGAACATACTCAAAAGTAACTAAGCCTCTTAAGTCAACCCTGGTCTCATCAAATTCAACCAGAAAACATGCCCAACCTTTTGATCTGGAACGAGTGGGCAGGGTCGCCCTCTAGTGATTGATGGAATCGCCCATCCCTCCCGCGACACTTCCGCCGGGTTTACTCTTTCAGTGTCCAACCCTTGGTGTCAGCATCGAAAATTACGGCCTATCTCCACACAATAGTTGATTTTTTCTGTTGATGCTCGTTGACGTGACCGTTCCGAACGACATTAGGTAGAATTCTACCGTCTTACTTCGAAATAGTTAGAAGGCAGGTGTGCGCAAACGTATTTTGTATAACTTGTACGAACCCTGTTTCTGCCTTAGTTTATGTTCTGTCGTGTTTCTGATCTGCATGCAGTTTCAGATTTGAACAACGCACAGTTGCGAACAGATCGGCGCCGGTCTTCCCTACCTGACAATCATCCGCCTGTAACACCCCATAATTCCGAGAAAAAATCTGTGGTGTCCAGCGCTCCGGACTACTGGCTCGCTGTCCCAACAAAACTCCGTGTCTAGTACGTTTGTTTGTGATGGCCCGTTTCATTAGTTTTGAATTAATTGCTTATTTCTACGTACACTCCTTGCACCATTTGCACTTAGTTCCTGTTCGAGTATGTACCAACGCCCGGAATCACAATATCGCGAATCTCGAAAACGTGCCAAATCACCATAGTTAACTGATCTCATAAGACTGTATTAACTAGCTACCGTTTGTGCCTCTTAAGGTTTTGTCATCTTCATGGGATTGCATCCTCATGTAGATGCGATTTCCCACCGCGTAAGCTCATTCTAGCTGGTATTTTTGCCCATTTTGAATGGAATGTGTTCAGTGGCTGTGTTTAGGGGGAACGTTGTGAACTGACCTGGTGAAAATTTCACTCGTCATTTGCCTTGAATTTAGTTGTGCTCTGTTCTCATCCCACCTTTATGTGCGGTTTTCAGTCGCTCGAAAGTTTCTTCGGAATTGTGGGCGAACCGCACCAGCGACCGTCAGGTATACGGTTTATTACAATTTATCCAACACCAGCGCTCTCAAGTGACACTGTCCATGCCTTCTTCGAAGCGCCAAAGCTCTACGGACAGTTTGGTCGTCGTTGGTGTAATCGGGTCGAAAACGCCTCCTCGCCGTTCTAAAAACGATCGCATTTATTCCATTTGGCATCTTAGTGATCTTGATCAGGTTGGACCGGGTTCCCATATTGGTTGTGTGAAGCTGTTCCTGTTCGGAGACGCGCACGAAAAGTTATGGAAGGAACCAGATGGCAGCGTCGTTGCCATCCTTGGACCGCGTTTGATGTCAGATCCTTCTGTAAGTGTCATGCTCACATCTCGGTTGTCATGCTTCGTATTTTTTCATCCTGGTAAAATTATTATTTAAGCTTATGCGGTTTTCTGACCCCTTTGAATTGATTCCAAAGGGGTACATAGTAAATTAGACTACGGCACATCTGCCTGGTTAAAGGAGTGAACGTTCTAACCACTAAATCCATCAACTTTTCCACCGGATTACAATTTTAGACATCTTTTAACGACAAGGATGTTGGAATCACTCCGCCCTCTCCCCAGCATGTGATGGTGTTGGGTCAGTCACCAGACTATGGGATTTGCGCAGCCCTGAACAAATCGGGCCAATCATGTTTCCACGTCATTAATAAGTAAGTGGCAGCCGAGGCTTTTTGAACTGTATCGGGGAAAATCGATAGTGCACCTGTTTGTTCCAGCCTTTCTATCCTTGTGTTGTGTTAGGTATAAAGATACGAGTTGGTTTTACTGGAAGGTATGTCTTTGCACATCAGTTGATCGAGTACTGTGCCCGTAGTCCTGGTTGTTACCAGTTTTTCCACAAGGTCGCGTGGTCTTTATTATCCACCCTAATGCTCATTAATATGTGACGTAGGATTTCGGTTCGGGTTAGTTTCCACTAAGTTGACGACGATTAGGAACAACATCACCAGTCTTACTCGCGGTTACCACCGACTTCCAGTGTTTTCATGCATTTGGGCGTGTTGATCACGATTACAGGGATATCTCCAGCCGAAGTAAAGAAAAAGGACAATGTGCTGACATCATTATGGACCGAGGCTACCGGTTTTTGGAACACAGCTGCCTCAACACCAAATATTGTATGTTTGCAGCGATCGAAACCGTTTTCTAACTTTCTTTATCTCTCTGTCTTCGCAGATCAGTATGTCGGTACTGTGACCTCCACGTAAAGAAAGCATATTATGAGGCCAGTTCATCTCGACCCGGATTTTTCGATTCCAGGTATGTCTTTCGCGCCTTGCTGTCCCGCCTGTGTTGGTTGTAAAGTTTTTGTTGTCCGTCGTGTTTTCAATTTATTCGTTAGTATTTTTTCTTTCAATACGCCTAAGCTGTTGAAGTTTGCAACAGGGCACCTACTGGCTGGGCCATTTTCGCACTATGACTCCGCGTTTGCATACAACGCTCTCTGTGTGCCCAACGATTCGTGAACAGGATTATCTCCGATGTTATCCATTCTTTCACTCTGCCACGAAGCTTTACTTCGAGTTGTATTCACCTGATTGTCCGGTTGACATTATTGTTCTTCTCCCCAGAACGGTTGCGCTGTTCGGTTGTTTGTGAAACCATTTGACAAAATATATCGTCCTTCACGGAAAAGTCGTCTCAAAAACCATCCTCATTCAACTGGCTAAAGTTCACATTTTCTTTCTTTGTCTGCCAACCAGATTTAATTTCTCAGCCACCATATCATTGTCAACCCTACATGTAGGCGATGTTGTGATAAACTTCAACAGCCTTTGGGGATTACAGAAACGCAGTGGAATTTTTCGTCTGATCTAACGAAGCACGGCACAAACTCATCGACACCAACTTGGGAAGTTAACTTTTGTACAACACCGAGACGAAATTCAAAATATTCTTCAACCAAATTTACTTCACTGTACTCAAAAAACAAGGGTTGGTTTGGTTTGAAACTGAGTTAGTTGATCTCAGTACCCGCCTCACCAATCCAGCACTGAAAAAACAATACCTAGAGAATAAAAACACTCTGATACGGAAACCGGACAAAGGTTCCGGCGCTGTGATTTCAAACAAGACGAATTGTGTCCTGGATAGGTCCCAAGAACAATCAGTTCCTCTTTCACCGTTTTCTGAAACGATGCATTCTTCATCGGACCCAAGCGCCTTCTAACCGATGGATTACGGATGATATTTTTCACCTAAGTGAGCTTTTTACCAGTCGCTTCCATGTTTAGTGCCAATAACCGATTCAATAATATGGCATCAGTGGCGGAACATATTACTCATGAGGCCCGCATTGTTTTTTTTTCATGGCAGACGCACGCTTAGACCCACTGAGTGTCGTGATTCCAGATCTCTTAGTTTTCCAATTGTTTTATAAATCTGGTGTACTTACCACACCATAGCCCAGTTAACGGGCTTGTATAACTATAAGAATAATCTTCACAATACTTAGAAAGTACGGATACTTCGACTCCAACGGTATGCTCTTTTGATGTTTTTATTTGCCAATGTGGCCCTCACCAAAACCGTAGTTTTTTATTCGACTTTTTATAAAACCACTCCCTTTTTACGTTCTTACGCATTCACTTCCTTGGGGGTCTTATTCTGAGGTACTTAGTATGACAGGTTTTGTTCTCCACAGTCTCAGCAGCTATGCTCATTGTGATGATTTGACTAATGGAAGTCTGTCTTGGATCACTTTTGCCGAGGTCTTTATGAACAAAAAAGGGCAAAATGAAGCAACTGAAATTCATACTGTCGTCCCTCTTTACAAGGGCTATTTGGCTGATATCTTAATCATCACCAAAAGCAGGAGGTAGATTGCAAACCTGTCTGTCCTCTGTTTTTAATGACCACCAAAACATTGATCCTGCTTGTGTGTGAGAGAGAGTGCTAGAGCACCAACTCTCCTTTTCGGGACTTTGTAATCTAAGCATTCCAGATAGTTCGGTGCCACGTTCCATGTAGCGTAAACCTGCTTGGACGGGACGGCTAACCGTATTTTCTCTCGGTGTCCGCACTTCTGATTTGTCTTAACTAAACAAAGTCTCATAAACGAGATATTCAGCTGCGTTCCAGGTGAGTCTCTCATCAAAACCAAATCAGTATGCAAATGGGTGTATTTTGTTAAGAAGTCCTTCTTTTTTACTCTGCATCTTAGGATCTTTCCTTTTCGCAGACAGCTGATGGAACCTTTTTTCAATGAATGCATCCGCACGCACTAGTCACACTGCCTCAGACAAAAAGATTCCTTCTCGCTGTTGCACCACTTCAAACCGATTTCCAAGTATTACAGACCTTCTTATGTAGTTTCTCTTTCTCTCACATTGATTTAAAATATTGACTGATGCAGGTAAGTGTTCTCTCTAAAGCTGTTGCGGCCTCGAGCGCAAGGTCAGAACTGGAGAACGCGTTTGCTGGAGTTGCTGCATACAACTCTCTTGTCAGATGGCCGGCCTGATGGTTAACCGAAATTCAATACAGTCCCACCTTTGAGCATCATTCGCCGTAATTTTCCGCCTACTGCACTGTTGTATGTTACATCTTGTCCTCTGTATAATGTGTTTATCTTGTTCGTATATTCGTTCTATTCTATCTATTAAAGTTATGAATGTTAAAAAACACCCTCGTAGGTTCATAAAGCTATTGCTTTCAATAGACGAATTTCACTGAACTAAATGACGAATAAGACGAATAACGTCGCGGTTCGGGGCACCGAATAAAACTCCACACCTCTTCTGAGAGAAACATTACGCAGGCAGTACCACGGATGAGTCAGGCGTGGAACAACCTAACGTACTCCAAGCACAATGCTATCGCAGTATAGAATGGGTACTACACTCAGACTGCGGAGCTAGGCAGGTGTATTTCAGAGGGATCTAGCTAATCACTATTGCAAGGGGATTAAATTAAGTTTGAGACGACAACGGAAATTTATTACTCTTAATCCAACGATGATGTGGCCGTTATGCTCGAATACATCCGCTGTTATGTGACTACTGAGCCTAATATCACAGGAGTAACTGTCGAACCCCGATTGAAATATATGTGCAAGAGACTTCTTGCACCCTGCGGTTGTTTCTTCTTCAATTTCATCGAAGGACAAATCTCCTCGAAAGTGATTCCTTATAGAAGGATCAATACTTTTGTGTCGGTTATCGACCGTGATGGTGATTCTGCTCGTGCGATGAGTGCTTTCTTGGATTTAAAACTACGTATCGCTGAATAAGTTAGTTTTGGTGAGAGCTTGTTCAAGCACGTGTGGCCGGCTAGTGTGCTCAAAGAAACGTCCCCTAGTCAGGAACGCGACTCTGTCCAGAAAACAGGCTTAAGTGAATGCGCACATTAAAAACTGAGGTGGAGATCTAGCCACACAGGTCGTGTTAGGTAAACTTTTACGTGTTCAGATCGGTCGTCTCTCATCACAGCCGTAAAAATTTACCATCGCTGGAATATTTATTCTGAGCACCTGGTCACGGGATAGACTCACCATTATTATAGCTCTTCTATTTCCAAAAACTAACAGGTCGTTCTAATGAATCACCGAGGCTACACCATCGGTGAGCGAATTGTGAAAGTTGGCGGTTGGTCTTGATATATTTTCGGCGTCTTGAGACCGATATGCTTCGAGTGAAACGATCACGAAGTGTTTACTCCTTACTGGCAACTTTTGACTGTAAGCCATTTTGACCGATCGCTAGAGGCAACCTTGTTTGATCTTGAGTGACGGTCAACCATATGTCGCGTTGATTCAATACCCGCATGATGTGGAGTGTCCTCAACCCCTTGGTGGAAGAAGCAACCAAAGTTTTCACGCTCTACCTGTTTTCATTCAGTTTCTGTTTTTGATGCAATTTTGCCCTTTTTAAATAAGTCTTCGGGCTATATTTCATCCGGGTCAAGCGAACTATCACTTCACTATTCAGCTTCATTTTCAGTTCGCGTTCAACCCTGTTTGAATATAATTTTTAGTAGTATTTACTGCCGAAAACTGTTTGCTTTCGTATGTTTGAAGTTCGCTACTGTTTCCCGACACAACTCACTTTGGGTCAATGGCATTTAAGCCTTGGGAAAATGTTTGTATCCCCGACTCAATTCTTTCGTTTGGACACTGATCTTCAATGACCGCATCAGCATGTCCTGCTGAGGTGGCATCGGTACGCTGGCTTCGTGTGTCAGATTTCCGGGGTTCAGATTCCGGCAAGGTGTGTGTACTACTGATAGATCCTAGCAAGACCGAACCTGGAGTTCAGTATTTTTCCTTTTTGATGTGGATTGACCAGTACGCCACAACAGAAGTGGAGGACTTTTCAAAACGGGGATGAATTGAATGCAAAATGTCTTACCCGCCACAAAGTCACATTAATTCAAATATGCAACTATGTTATATGGGCCTATAAACGCCCGGATATATCCTATTTTTCGCTTCATCTGACTCGTTGCCTCGTCGGTCAGTCGATATGTCCCTAGCGTTTCTTATCTACTTCTGCCCTTTTAATACTTTGAGCTGAGATCTGCTTCAGAACCAACCCCGAATGTGTCGTAACATGCTAATGAGGTTTCCCAAATGGTTGTTAACCACAGAGCGTTTTCAGTTGATCTGTGGCTGGTGTGAATAAACGTTAATGTTTTCGAACTGTTTTTGCTTCTTGCAGCCATCCTGCCCTAAAGAAGCGGCCGACGAATCGTTACAAGGGTGATCGACCACCTGTGAATGAGCCTGGAGTGTACAGCTTACCAACTTCAAAAATGTTCAACCCCGTTTCACCCTCGCGGTAAGCTTTCGTTTGGCGGTCTCCGTCCTTGTTACAGAATGATAGGGTGTAGGTGTGGCGCCAGGGCTTGCTTATGTGAGTGGACCGCCCTCATGTCAGAAGTGGAACGATAGTTGCAGTACTATCGTGATTTGAACGAACTTCCTAAACACGCTATGACATTATCGTGCCCATCCGATGCCTTTTATTCACAACGTGCACGGAAAGACGTTTGTATTTCAATTAGATCACATAGACACCTGCCTCGCACCTATCCCGGTTCTTGTGAGAACTAACACTTGACAGTGACCGGTTTCGTTCAGTCCCGCCGTACTCTCGTTAAGCTACGTACGTACTAGACTCCCATCTTCCGTTATCAGCATACAGGAACAAATTTTTGTCAAGATCCCCCCACGTTTACCGGCTACGCTGTATCTTTTCTGATCCTCGAGAGTGGCGTAAAAGTTACGGTGATGTGCATTTTTCATCACCAGCATCAAGCTTCATGTTACAGCACCCAGCAGAACGCACATCTTAATGATAACTACGCATGACGAGACTGTGAACTATGTGACCTCATAGCTATTTCGCACCTACCTTCAGGGATTTTCGAGTTCTTCTCGACGTAATCCGTAATCGTATTTTGATACTGCGAAGGTACGCACTCGTGTGCTGGACGATTTACCCAAATATACAACAGGCAGGTTGTCGATTCACGTAGCACTGTAATCAGTTTACTAAACCCGATACGTTTTTTTCACGAAAGCAAGCTACTTTTGTGCTTACTGTCCATCAGTATGGTTCTACCTAAGAATACTCGTGCGCAAAAATGCTATACTTCATTTATTCGCGAAAAAACGCTTGTGAATGGAACCGAAGGAAAGAGACATGGCCGAGTACCAATCCGGTTTCCAGACACGCACGAGCCGTTTTTTATTATTACTGATATGTTATTTTTCAAAAGGTAATACTATCCTTCATGAATTACTGCCGCCATGCATTTTTACGTGTAGTTTGTTGTCACGGTGTCCTTCGCCTATCAGCGAGTGTTTCTTCATTGTGCAATTATTGACGTATTTTACTTTTTGAATCCATTCGCAACTACTATCCAGTCCATTTTTATTTTCATCATGGTCAAAGTTCCGAATCACGAGTCAAACTGACAGTGGCAAAGTTGTCAGCCGCTGGCTATACCGTGGACAGTTCCGTCGGACTCGCAACTCAACAACATCGGGTTGACGGTGCTGGCGATCCTTCCCGACCTCCTCCGTCACAGCCATTGTCTTCACCGGAGCGCAAACTTGTGAAGGCACTTCACCGACCGACTGCCGGGTCTATGAACCTTCTGCGACATCTAGAACGCAGCACGCAGCTACTAGAAGTTAAAAATACGTCAGTAAATTCTAGGTCACAAGACCCGGGCACATCATGCTCGATGGAGACGCAGTCTCACTCTCATGTGTGCAGACCGTCAGCGGATCCAAAAGTTGGTTTTACCTTCTCTGACTTTTTCGCAGCCCGATCAAAAAAACAGGCGGTGAAACTCACTAATGACCTACGACCGGGAGATTTTATCGACTTGGGTCCCGTGTCTACTTCACAAACACCGATGTCGCCCATACTTTCTGGGGCCAGACTGCGTGCGAGCCAGCTGGTGAAAGCGAAAGGTGGACTAAAAGCCATGGAAGCCCGAGCTAAGCAGCGCAGTGAAGTCTCAATCAAGGCCTCTTTAGGAGAGCAGTCAGCGGATCGCCACAGACCGTCGTAAGTTGTTTTTCCGTTCTGTTTCGTTATCTGGTATTGTATGAATGCAAAATGAGATGGGCATCCTATCTTCTAGGTAAAATAAGGCTTTTCTTGTGATTATCTTTTGCCGTTTCCTTCTGTTTGTCGTCTCTCCCAGTCGAAGTCAAAATCAAGTAAGGCTGTTGTCTGTTATGTGTTTATTCGGCTAGTGAGAACTGCTTGTAATGGATATTTCTGCCCGTCGGGATCCTTCTTGTGCAACTGTTATTATCAGGGTCCATTTGCAAACTGAATTAATTCCTGACTATGACATGACTTCTAAGACACCCTACAACTGATCTCACGCGTAGCCTCACTCAGATCTACCCGAAAACCCATGCCTTCGCTTCTACTCGTTTCTAATGAAACTTAACTACCTCTAAAAGCCGGCCACGGCACGGCTTTGTCCATCATTGTGGTTGGTGAAATCAGTTAATTAATGAGTTAACTAAGTAATTAAATAAGCAACTAAAGCAATGGTGATTTCGTTGTTCTCCCTGGCTCCCCCCATGGTGTCTGCCACGCGACGCAGACAACTTCTGGTCCCAACTCATCTTTACTTCGCCCGCAAAAACTGTAGGCTGTCATCGCTAACCACAGTAGAATATCTGATCAGTTCCGTAGTACAACCGCCACACAACCATAGATAGAAAAATACCCAAGTTAATGCTAGAACTACCTACAAGGGGTTGGAAAGGTACTGAAATACGGGTGGCTCTGGTTGATCAGATGGCCATTGATTTGTTCACTGAACCGGATAATTGGCTCGCAAACGTTTCGTCACCAGTTGGGGAGACATCATCATCCACTGCTTGGTGACAACGTTTGCAAGCTAGTTACCAAGCTCGGTGATCAAATCATCAGCCACCCGAGCGAATGCCAACGAAGACTGAGAGGTTAGGAGCTATGATTGGACTTCTTAACACTCAGCTTCTTCGACAAATCACTTAAGATGTCTTCATTGTTTGAATATTGACGATTGGTTAAATGCATAGTAATCCTGAAAACTTGCCTAATTAGCTCGGCGAACAATCAAAGTAGGTTGTCAATGTGTTTTTGTTGCTCTTCATCAAACCACTGGCCATTTCGGTCTTCATACCCTTAGATACAATCCACTGTTTCTGCACTTACTAACCCTTTCCGTTAAACATTCTTTTTTCCTTCGCAACAGACCGCTATCCCAAATACTGGACAACAACTCGCTGGGCTCCTCTGCAGCCAAACCAGTTTCGAGTTCAAATCCCCCTAGCTTGGACGCGCATCCGAATGGAACGGAAAACGAGCCACCTGAGATGAGTGCAGCAGCTGCTCGGAAAAATAGATTAGCTGAGCTGGCGAAAAAAGTCCGCGAAGGATCATCTCACACGGGTCTCATTGCTGAGGCCGAAATAAATTCCGAACAAGCTCGAATGGCTGTACTTGAAAAAAGGGACGAATTTGAACAAAAACTGACAGGCAAAACAGAGGAACAGTGTACTTATGTATGCTGCAAAACAGTGAGTTTTTCCTGAGATTTACTTCATCTTCCTCATCGGTCATCATTCTTCAACCTAAATCATTGATTATCTTTTGATACGAGAAACCCTGGATATTATCCGGTGTGCGGATAGCTAGTCACTGTCTGTAACTTTGATACACTAAGAATATTCCGGTTTTATTCTTCCGTATTTTATGTTGTTTTCGACATGCACTCTAAGTTCGTCTCAGTCGGGCGTATTTGTGTCTGGCGACCGGCCTTCCGGAGTAAACAGACTCTAGACCAAACTAACTGTTGCGCCGTAAAACAGGCCCTCCGAATGGTCAAAGTTTATATCTCGACGGTTCACACCCAATCTCCAGTGCTCCAATACAACCTTGTGGATAATCCCGTCGTTTACTTCACAGTCCCACTATAGGTCTTTTCAAGTTAACTTGCCTTTTCCTGCACCGGGGTTGTGCGATCACAGCAAATTGTCAGTGCATGGCGGCGCAACGTGTTTGAAGTTTTAAGCTGCTCACAACGGCACTCAGTATTCGCACAATGGAGCGGAATTTTCGAAAGTTATGACATGTCCCTGGTGGACTAAAGCAACTAGGCAATTGGGTTGAGAGTACAAGTCCAAACTTTCCAGCCTCATTTAGGCACCCAGGATTCTCAGCAATGCTGGGAAATTATCCCACAAGACTTTTCAGCCAGAGGCATGGTGAGATGCAAAAATATGAAAGTAGATTAGGACAGTTTTTGGTTTGCGCATTTACGCGACAAAATGCAACATTTTGGTGTAAAACGTTTTACTCGACTGGTGAAAATTTTGCAGCTGAGAGCATTGTGCAGATAATGGACACCCTCACAACCGTTGTCCCCTCATGAGTGTCACTTTCTCGGTTTAAATCCTGTCTTGCAGGTCACTCGGTCAATGTGACCACAATAGGTGAAAAACCTGTGTTTTAACGCCACCATTTTTCAGGACTAACCTATATTCTATCCTATATTCTTTCCTATTTCCAGTGTAACTACCGTGCATGGAAGCTGTCTGACGATTGCCGTAAGAGCAATCATTCGGTAGTCTATTTGAAGGGTTTGAAGCGGTATTTCAAATGCAAGAACTGTTTGAAGCGAACTGTAACATTCGAGCGCTACCCAACCGTCGCTTGCAAGTACGTCCATCTGGGTTCTTTTCCCGTCTCATTACTACCAACGAAATGAAACGAATTTGTTGCCTTATTTGGTCCCTTTCATGCATTTCATCATCAATACACTGGCGCTTCATCCCTGTCGAACGTTTGATAACGCATAATTGTGTTCTGCGCATACTATGACCGGTTTCAGATTTTTAATTAGCTGTGACGGGAAATAGGATGTGGAGTTAACATCGTGTCTAAATACTGGTGGCTCGCGTGGGTGAATTGGTTCGTGGACAGGTGACAGTTGATCTGTTCACCTAGCTTGGTAATTGGCTTGAAAGCGTTTCGCCACCATGCGAAGAGATATCGCCAGTGCTCGCACCAACAGCTCACACTTCATATAGTTGCCCGCGGTGTTTAGTTGCAGTCTTATAATGCAGGGGTTTTCTCGCCTCGTTGTTGGTCGATGCGGACAAGAAGACCTTGCTTATTTTTGGCTTTGGATCGCGTTTTTATACCCAGAACTGACATCACCTGATTCTGTTTCGGCTAAATCTTGTTCCCAACTCCTTTACACCGTGCACTACCTCCACTAATTCGACATAGGTCACTTTCCAAGTTTTACTGCGCCGAAACAAAGTCTTCTCAATAATACGCCTGCCTGCTCGTAAGTAGTAAGTAATAAAAACCTGTTATTAATTTGCGAATATACTCCAGCAAACAAATAAACCTATTTGGAATGGATGCTAGTTGTCGTGAATCTTTGTTCTGTTCAGCTCTAGGAAACTCGCGGTAAACTTCAGCGGTCACATCGCGCCTCATTTTCAGCCTCCAATGCGCAGCCGCCCACAGAGATGTGTCAGCCCAAGAAGAAACCATAAGTCTACAAATATAAGATAAAAGTTGATCAACAAGGAACGAAAATCATGATTTCGTCATTCGAAACCGAAGTTGCCTTGCTAACAGAGTAACACAGCATTCTCTCCATCATCTGAGCACATTTTCATCAAGAAATGCGCATATTTGGACTTAGATCAAATTAGACAACTTTCCTCTCTATATCATACAAGTGGACCAGTCCTGAGCACAATAAATAAGACGGGGTAACTCACACCAGAATGGCTTTTATACCATGTAAACTAGACGGAATAATGAGAGGCGGAGATCTGATAGTTAGCTAGGTGAACAAACGGACAACAAACGGAAAAAGCGACCTACCGGGCTACACATCTCGAGGAATTTCAGGCTAAGCGCGGGTATCCGACAGTTTTATTTTCATCCGTCAGTTTTCGTGCTCCCTAGGCCTCTTTACGAAATACCGATTCGCAATGATATCGACGTGCCCACGTTGTGGCTGTTGGTGACACGACGCTGAACAGAATTATTGCTGTTAGTGTGTCAAACCATTGGTAGTCAGG